GATTGCTGATCCGGCATTCCTACCAGATTTGGGCAATGCTCCAAAGACATCGATGGTCGAACACTAGATGTCGTTGGCTCGCAGCAGACAAGTTTCTGACCCGTATAGTAATATAGACCGCACTCCAGCATTGTAAAATCGAACCTGGACGGATAAGCTGATGTCACGCCGACGTAGGTTCACAAAAGCTTCTCTGGCCTTCCCAATCCGGATGGAAATATCATCTTTCGCGAGACCACCGGGACTGATACAGTTGCCCAACCAGAACGACCGCACGGTAGTCGGATGTCTCTGATGCCTTTGGTCCCGCAATTATACCTTGGGTTCTTCATGGAATCTGAGCTTTACTCCAAACTCGCACTATCATTCCCTTGTTATTCAGACTGGTTCCAGTTGGAGCAAACATCACACCTCTCACAGATATCATTCCCTTGTTATTCAGACTGGTTCCTGTTGGAAAAAAGTCACGAATGCTGTGGAGCAAACATCACACTTCTCACAGAGGCCAGCATTGGAGAAAGCCTGTTTTTATGTTGATCCACAGGAGCTAATATTAAATTTCTGAACTCTGTGGAAAGACCAGTATTCAGATCAAAGAAAGGGCCTCGGAATAGAAGCTCTGATCTTCCAGTCCTCAGCTCATGTGACCCTGGCAAATACCGATTCCAGAAAGTTGGGCAGAGAGGACCCTGATCCCATTGACCTTGGCCAACCGACTGAACGAAACACTTGGGATATCAGTCGGACATCTGGTTACGCATGTTGAGTGGATACCGAAATGGGTTATACAGAGAAGCAGAGACCCAGTAAAAGACATGGTTTCAAAATTTTGTACGGAACGATCGATCACCTAGTTGCAGGTTCACACACACACGTGATTCGCAAGGAACCGATTTGCTACCGTGAAAAGTGTCCGATTTTGAAGCACACAGCTTTCTCTAGTGTAGAATTTTCGTTTTTTATCCAGACAGGGGTCATCTCTCAAATGAGACTATCTTTAGCTGCCCGTTGCTGCTATGATCCTGAAAAAAGACAAATTTCCTTCCTAGTGTGTATTGGGCGTTCAGCCGGTCCACTTGAATGGGCCGTGACTGCAGGGGATCGTCCTAAAAAAACCTCCACGTGAATTCAGTGCCTTTCGTAATTGATTTAGCCCAGAAGTCCGCGGAACAGCCATTTGTTTACGATCCTCAAAACAACAGTGAACTACGACAGTGTGACTCGATATTTTCAACTGGCTCCATTTGTGTCAGATATCTCGTAATTCAATGACGCACAGGGGTGTGTCTTCAACGAGGTGCTGTAGAGGCCACTCATCAGATCACGCGTCACAAACACTAAAACCACGTGACAATTCCCGTCCCACTTGCAACCTTAGTCGACAACTTGTACACTACGAATTCTCATCCATTTTTGTTTACGCGGCTACCAATTGTGTCACGCGCCAGGATTATGAACCTCATTCAACAAATCAGGTTGAGTTGTATTCATGTTCGTGCAAGCATCAAACACCAAGAAACACCCCTCTCTTCACACTGTACATAATAAATAGGCATACAATTAGGCTCAGCACACACACTCGCGCGCACAGGAAGCAAGGAAGTCAACGGAGTTCCGCGGACAACTACGGGACACGTGTAGCAACTATACTGCAGAGAAGACACGTCCCGCGTCCGAAACTTCACTCAGGAACTCTCAACCAGTGTCCTCAAACGATAAGTCACCTTTTGGCTCATTCCACTTTTTGCATTTTTATCAAGTGCACCTGGCTAGTAAGACAGACATTTGTTAGTGCTTGTAACCTTCTGATAACCAACTTAATTACGTCAAAACTAGAGCACCAACACTGTCAGATAGGTTCGATCCCACTACAAGTGGCTCAGTGATCGATTTCCGATCATCAAAAGAGACCGCTAAGGCTAGTCAGAGTCTGCTGAATAACACAAGATACTAGAACGTGGCTGGATGGAAACGATCGTGTGGACTAGAAAGATTACCCGCTGGAACTTAACAGACAACGGAGAGCACATGGGTTTAATAAACAGACAAAGACGACTGATTGGATTAACGTAAACATCCGATCTGCAGGCAGATGTTAGTTAACTTCAATCGAACATGGAACGCTCATGCTGTGCTCACTTTCGACTGGATCACTGGTTCCTTGGGATAAATTGATTACCTCCGGAAACCATACACGTACTTCCAAAACTAGCTACAAACACTTATTCAGTTGTATGAAGGGTACTTACACGCGAATTCTTGTTGAGTTTGCTTAATCGATCACTAGTGAAACAGAAGCCAAAACTGCCTATCTTGATGAAAACTATTCAGATAAGTGAGTACGCCAACTATCAAGTTTCGCGCGAAAATGCTGCCAAAAAACAGACTTCTCAACTGTCAGCTAGGAAGGTAGGAGACGCTTATAGGCTGTCAAAAACATTTCCTGCGTAGCATTCGGACAGGAACTATCCCCATGCTCTGACGATACTAAATTCCCTGAACATCGATGTTTTTAGGGACTCATCAAAACACATATAACGGTTAAAAATGGGAAGAAATAGTAAAACAAACAGTGAAGTTAAAACGTTGAAAATTTAGACCAGGGAAAGCACGTCCATCGAATAAGATGGTGTAAGGTGGTATAAAGAGCCGATAAGTGCCGATCGATCCTGTACCGCACTTCAATCTCTGGTGGCAGTCCGAGGTATCCCTCACGTCGGCTAGCCAGTTGATGAGGTGGGATAAAGCCAGAGGTGAAAATATGCAAACTCACTTCATGTAGTGCAGTGTATTGGACATGGTAAGAAGCCATTTGCTCTTCACCCTTAATTTCCACGGAGAGTTGCAGCCGAATCGCCCCAGAAACAGCGGACTTGTCTGTTCGTTTTTCTGCGGGGAAGTGTGTGGGGTGAGGGAGGTCAAATCTCCATATGAGCCAGTGTTCTTATGAAAGTGCATAGCATAGTTTGCGAAATACACCAGTCATTTGTACATTAATCCTCATCCATGAAGAATTTCATAAACTGAACTGGTGTGTAATGTTTTCACGATTCGGGTTCAAGTAGTACATACGGTTGACGGAATCTTGGGGACACAACACCTGCTTGATGAGCCCCCAAAAAGGGGGAAACTGGTCGTAGGTTTTCAACAACCTTGTGATTAATGTCCCTTCAGAGATAGATGATTCTTAGAGATATACACTGGTTGCATAACAGTTTGGTTTCTACAGGAGACTCAACTGGAACCCAGCTGAATCTCTCGTTTATGATGCTTTTAAGCAAATGAATGTGCTGCAACAGGCCGCCTCGGGTTTCTGCTTCTACGATATTCGAGGTATCGCGATGCGTGCATAGACGTAATACACTACTCATAAGGATGACGGGAATTCGTCAACAGCCCACGACCGGTTTCGCCCTTCTTGGGGCTCATCAGGTAGGCGCAGTGTCCGAGTTTCCATCAACCTTATGTTCTGCTCGAACCCAAATTGCATTGTTTTTGAGAAATACACTGATTTGCAAACCAATTTGTTTTTCACGAGAGACTCAACTGAATCTCTCGTTTATGATATTCTGCAACTGAAAGTGCTGCACACAGGCCGCCTCATGTTTCAGTTGGCACGATATTCGATATATCGCAGTATATTTTCATAAAGGAAACTACTCACAAGTTTGCTGAAAACTCTTCGAGAGCCCACGATCGGTTTCGCCCTTCTTGGGGCTCACTGAGTAGTCCCCGAGTTTCCGTCAACCTTGTGTTCTACTTGAAACCAAATTACGAAAGACACTCATCTGCATACCAATTCGGTTTTGACGAGAGACTCTCCTGGAACCCAGCTGAATCGCTCGTTTATGATTCTTTGTACACATAAATGTGTATGCTTCCTTTAGGGTTTTCTTCACCTGGGAGCCATCATAAGTGATAGTATGGTACAAAAAACTTACTTAATTATGCATGTCACGATGCAAAGTTGGAAATTTTGTGTGTGGAAAAACCAGCAGTTTCTAGAAATTCAATGGATCCTGATAGTTACTTGAGCGCTGTTTCAACATTTAGAGCAAAGACAACCATGTGAGTTACACACCTTTGTCACAAAGGTTTATGCAAGGACTCGTTTAGCTGGACTGGAGTGTACGAGTCTAAACCAGAGATGAATCATGGGCGGTGCTCAGGTTACTGTTGATCTATCTGTTCGCCGAGCTTAGCAATTAGCCGGCGGTGTGTGGTTGGTGAAACGTTTGCAAACTAATTGCTAGGCTTGACGAGCAGATCAACAGCCGCCTAGTCAACGACCAACAAACTCTCCCAAGCAATCCACATTCCGGTACATGTCTAGGGGCAAGGTCGTCCCCAGTAAATTACAGGGAGAGCTTGGTATCAAGCGGGGTTTTTTTTGGTTTTTGTCGACCTCAGTGAAATAATTGTTGGATTTTTGCATTAATTCATAGTACTCGGGGATTTTCCCCCACGGCACTGTGAACCAACACTCTTCGTTTGTGATGTTCACCCGTTTTGGTTTAAAACTAGAGATTGAATTCTGCGTTTTTTTCACCCTTTTTCAGCCTTATAGAAACAGCTACGTCCTTTTGGTGAAAAGGAACGGATACAGTAACCTCTCCATGTCTAGCAAAGTGGATGGTCGGTGTGCAATCCACCGGCGAACTAGGCTGCTTTTAGATGTAGAATGGACAGTGCTCACATGGACCTATGAACAACAGCCACATTGAATTTCACTCCACTGAGTGGTCGGCCAGTCCTCCAATCGGATACAAGCCTCTCCACGAACCAATCAGACCTTGCAACAAAAACCACTGTGTGTGCCCTCCGACCAACCGCAGACTCTCCTTTCAAAATACTCGTATCGATTTTCACGTATTTGAATGCCGGATAAAGGCTTGACTAACCGGATTTTAGCGAAGCTTGTTGTCTACTACGCGGACGTTAATAGGAGCGCCGAATTAGAGTCCTGGGCCGAAAATAACGGTCACAGCTCCTGAGATGCAGGGTGCACACTGCCAGCACGATTATATTTGAATAATGAGACTTCAAGGACATTCTATCCGAAATAGGACACTTATTGATGACAGGCCTACCATTCTATGGGTAGAATGGTCACAAAAACCACCTCTCTGAACCAACCACTGCTAGGTGCCGCCCCCTTGGGATGGACCACAAGAAAGAACCGACCAAAGTTGGTATTTTATGGGCAACAGTTACTAGCAGAGGCCTACTGCGGAGAAAACATTTCAGCTTTTGTTTGGTCCTCTGAAGCCGTCCCCCTCACCAATGATGGTCCCCAGATTTAGAAATGGTCTCTCCCGGGGGGAGTGAAAGGTTTGCTTCAATGACGATATTGCCTCTTAGCAAAGATTGATTACGCTAGGCCTCCCCCGAGGAGCCAGACGTGGTTTCCGAGGGGAAAAATTTCAGCAAAGAAGATGCTCTTGACTTGTCGGTCTTTTAAAAGGTTGTAGGGAGCGTTTTGAAATATCAACAGTTGGTCGGTCCTGAAAGGAGTTCCACACCATCTGGAATTGAAATTAATGTTGCCATATCTGGAAATACAACCACTGACACAGGCCATGAAAACCAGTATAATCCAGGTTTCTGATGTGTATTACGTTACTCTATCTCCTCGGGTACCCGCGCACCAATAATATCGATGCAAAAATCAAACAATGAGTATGTAGCTTGGTTCTTTATCTCTTAAAAACTGAAAGGGGGCCTCAGAAGTATTGGAGATCATCGGGAAATGAAGCGACGAAGGATGAAGTTCACCCCGTTGGAAGCCAACTCGCGCAACAAACTATTTAGTTTGATCAACTGTCTTGGACCGTATGTATAAATCCGTTTACTGTGTCGATCACAATTCTAGATATCTACGTGGAATAAGCTAATCTCGGATTGACTTTGCCTGGAGTAAATCACGTGATGCCTCGTTACTACGGCGACACTGCCGCACCGATGCGTGATACACCCTGCATTCATTGTCGCAAAAACAAATCATACGCAGAAACATTCTGTAAATGGATTCAACAAGTTAGAACCCAAAAGTACTTAGGTGGTTGAGCACACGATATGCAAGTCCCCCCCCCACGGCTTTCGCCCTACTCGAGGATTATTATTATGAAGCCCAGTCCCCATTTTTTTCTTGAAGTTTCACCCGAAAAAACGTGGCATTCCCAATACGATGGGCACTCCAAGTAAAGAATTTTATGAGTGATGCAGGCGGTCTTGTTCAGTGAGTGGGAGGTTCAAACAAGAGGAACACTTTGTTTTCGGTAACAATCTGTAGATTTATTGCTGGCCAACGTTTCCCTTTTGACACAAAAGCTTCGTCAGGCCAAGTGACTAGGTTACGAGGTTGACCGATATTTAATGCGGAAGGAGAACCAATCGGCTTAGTCAAGCTAAATCTCCTTGGGCTGTCGGTCGAGGGGTTTTTGTGTGTTAGGGCGGGTGAACAAGTGTTGGGTCGACGGGGAAACCTCCATGTGTTTGGGTCCAGCCTAGGGTCAAGTTCTTCTGGTTCAGTCCACTTGATGACCCCTTTTGAACGCCATCCGTCTGTGTGGATGAGCTAATGCTACGACAGTTGTGTAAGAGGGATTCTGTGACCTCTGGTCAAGTTGGGAAATCCATCTTCCTGTTTTGTCTACATGAGCTGACAATCACACCCACTCACGTGTCAACTCAGCTTATCTAAGGCCGCTTTCTATGCGCTCGCCAGTTCCACACCCTCGATCATGATGCTCCACCGCCTCGGGTATCAGCCGCTGTGGGGGGGNGTGAATCGCAGTCCCCGTCTTAAAACTACCACATGTATCGCGATATCTCGAATATCGTAGCGACTGAAACATGAGGCGGTCTGGTGCAGCACATTCAGTCGCCTGAGAACATCACAAACGAGAGATTCAGCTGGTTTCCAGGTGAGTCTTTCGAAAAAACCAAATTAGTTTGCAAATGAGAGTATTTGGTATTCTTCTGCATTCCTTGAGGGTTTGTTTATCTTCCTTTTATGTTTACCAATTCTGACAGTTTGTTCAGTGTAAACCTTAGTGGAATCCTTGCGGTTAATTTTACACACACAGTCCCTAGTCCTTCCAACAGGGAGAGGATCTTTGAAGAAATGCTTTTTTAGCTTCGTTGAGTCCTTGTAACAACACAAAGAAGCTAATACATGCATTACTATATAGTTGTATGACTCATACAAAGAGAGACATTCCTCCACATTGTTCTGAGAGTTAGTTTATATTAGTAGTTGCCCACAAGATGTTTTTCCCAGGTCAACATTTTTTATCAATCATTTATTGACAAAATGAATACTTGCTGACCTTCAATTTCAATATCAGAATTATGCTTGCAGGAGATTCCTGTCCCATGCCGATCAATCGTTTTTCTTTCGGAGGTTATGGTCAGTACAAAGAACTTTCAGGCATATCAGTTCACCCCTCATCAGTTCCTCAGCAAAGAACCCCATTCAAATAACTAGATTTGTCCTACGAACAATCCCACTCCATCGTCACGGCGACGAGTTTGGCACAGTCCACGCAATAAAAACAAAACATCCCCTCACGCGAAATGACAGGAGTAAATCGGTGTTGAACCAAATCGAGATGAAGGCAAGAGGAGGACAATGTCACCATAATCTCCCTGGCCCGGTCAACAAAACAAAACACTCCCAGATCGATCAGCTTACTGTTCACATCGTCCATTAGTCCGTTCGCGTTAAACACAACCGAACAATGGGTTCCAACATTGTTCCATCGCCGCTGACTTGTCATCAGTGTTGGGTAGTGGTGAGCTGCGAAATTCATAAGTTGTCATCTGCAATCCCCTCAAATACGCCACGGAAATACACGGCAGAAAGTGGAGTGGTACTAATCAGTTGTGTTTACTCAATCATTGCTCCAACTGGACTTCACTCAACTCTGGAAATCCAAACTGTTTCATCTGTTGCTGACCCGCTCCAGTGCCTAGTGCCGGAAAAAGACTCACAGAAGGGAACACAATTGCTATATTCCGAACAAGCGAGTGAGTGCGTGCGGGTTCGAGAGCAAAAGTTACACCGGCTCTGTGCTTTCCAACATTGATCCACACTGTCTAATAGGCGTTAGTGAATACCCACCAACAGGGTCTAATAGGCGTTAGTGAATACCCACCAATAGGGATCATGCCTCTATGATCCAATCTAGACGCTGTAAATCACCTGACCGACTCCAACAGTCGGTGCCCGGGAGGACAGTCCCTGACAAGCACACGGTTACCAAGCCGTAATGTTGGCTTCCCAAACCATGGTTCAGTGAGACTTTATCAGATGGGTAAAACCCTAGAAGACAGACCCTAAAACCAAGTTCCTGTTCATACTTGTCTGTTTATCTGAGGTTCACAATCACTTACGATCATTTTTAACGAGAAGCCAAGGAGAGCACAACAGATGGCATTTCATTGCAATCGCACAGTTTTGGGGTCTAGCAAACCTTCATCTAGACAACCGTCAAAATAATAAGTTTTAACTGCGCGGACAACATTCGCTGCAACGAAGCCAGCAGAGTTTCGGCCGCTGATTGGTCAATCGCTGATCAGCTGACACCATTGGCTTGGCTATGAAATCAGCCGCATGTCAAGGTCAGCAGTTCGGAGTTAGTTCACGTCTTAATTAGTGTTACCGTACACAACGTATGTTTTGTGAAGGGATTTAAATCAATGGTGCTTTGAGAATACTGAGAACTCGTGTAATCCGCCAATCAACTTTAATCGTTTCCTGAAAATAGTTTACCTCCCATTATCTTCCAAAGGTAATGACCTGTCCTCTTTTAGCAAATCCCGTTTGCACCTGTCACTCAAACGGATGAAACGGCTGTTCACTGCTTCTCTCCCTTCAGCATGGATTGGCTTTACCTACAGGACGAAATGTCCACTAAAAATGCTCATTCTTATTACCCTATAACTGGAACGAAATCAGCTTTGTCTGCACCCTACTTTGTCCCATCCCATTACAAATTACGCACAAATTCGTTCGAGCTATCCTTCCGACTTTGTACCACCACCTCTATTGAAATATATTCAGCAGTACTTACCTGACGAAATGACTTCCATACGTTTCTAAACTACCTCATCCACATGACATGAACTTTTATCAATATGCTATTTCCGACCAAATTTATGGCTCTTTTCACATTAAAGCCGCTTGAATATCACAAAAATTGTATTTTAAGCGTTAACGTGATAGGTTTCACAGTCAGTCTCACTGTGCGGCACAAGTCGCAAATGGGCCAATAAGATTGCAATGAAGGTGTGTACTAAGTAGCCAACCACATGTGAGAGTGTTAGCTACTCTTTGGAAACTATATAAACGCAGGCGCACTGACGATATCTCCTCAACTGCGGACGAACCGTTTGCAAGTCAAGCTCGGCGAAAAGATCAGCGGCCACCAGTGAAGTTATGCACCACGTGGCGCCTGTTGGTGGACTTTATCTTCAACTGGCAATTTCGTAGCATAGTTCTGCATTTTTGGCCGGCTGTTTGGTAAAAACGGGTTGTTCATTTGGTTTAGTCATGGTATCCACTCCCCGAGTTCTGAAAAAACTCAGTTTTTTTGTCAACTGCTTATGAACAACATTACACCTGGTTCCTTTTTGAAAGCGCGCTACGTTAACTGGGTTCCTTTTCTAACCATTCCAGTGATTCATTGTTTCAATCATATGCCTTGAAATTTCCCTTTTCATTTTTTATTATAATTATACTGAAAAGAACTAAAAATCCCGCATAAAACTAGGCTTCAACTAAGCAATCTAACTCAGCCGTGAGGCCTGATAAATTAATTTTCGCATCTTTGAAAGTTTCGACTGAATTCTCATCGAGGCTAATTTTTTCGGTATAGGATCGATTGCTGTTTGTTACCAGACTGTCCCCAATAAACCCATTTGCTTTGTGTCTCCAATCCCCTTAATTATTCCATAAACCCGAGTCAAAGTTTCCAAGGTAAAATATTCCACTTTCAACACATTCTCACATTCTTCACCATTTCAATGCTGAAGAATACAAACACTGACAGGCGAAGCGCCCTTTCACTCTAAACAGTTACACTACCTGCTTTCTAGACAGGACCACAAAAGGCAAAAATCGACTGCCAGCTGTTCGATAACGTACAATTCAGTCGGTTCCATCTTTTCCAAGTTGCTTTTTTCCACAATACTGAGCCGTATTCGCATTTATCATACTCACCAAGGTTGTACCAGACGTCCATTTCTCCGCTCAGCGTTCGCACGTCAATGATTGTCTGACCGAGAAAGTCGTCCGATTCCCGCGTAAACTTTTGACGGATTTTCGATTTCAAATCATTGTCTTCATCCCTATCCGCGATTGTGAAGAGGGAAAGAAGGGAACAGGAAAACAAAGAAAAAAGTGAGGGATTATCACGACAAGAATACATCAAAATCGATCTTGTTTTGAGGATGTAAAAGGCGTGGGATGCCCGTGCCGAGATTTCGACGGCATTGCTTAAATGATAGTGTATTTTTGGATGGATCAGGACTGACATCAGTTCACATCAAGAATTCACTTTGGGTTAATATTCTTGGTTCGGACTGGGTTTATTGCCCAAAATCTCCAACTCAAAAAGTGCACGCCCGAAGGGCGGGAATGGTCACGTGAAGTGTCGAATGAGCAGAAATCCACATGAACATGTGGTCAAGTCGTCTGTCTTGGATTCTTCATCCACAGATTGTCGTGGCCGAAGAAACTGGCCATCCGGCGAAACTCAGGTCGTTGCCTATTTTCTACGTAGTTATCACGGCAGCAAACTTACTAGGGCTCCAAAAGAGTTCATATGTGATCGATTCCAGACTGGAAGTCCTAAAACAGACTGTTTTGTCTGCCACAAAGACCTTTGGATGATCGGAAAATACACTCATTTCCAAATCAATTTGGCTTTCATGATAGGCTCAACTGAATCTCTCGTTTATGCTATTCTACAACTGAAAGTGCTGCACACAGAACGCCTCATGTTTTAGTTGTCACGATATTTGTGATATCGCAGTATATGTTGATAAAGGAAACTACTCACAAGGTTGCTGAAAACTCTTCGACAACCCACGACTGGTTTCGCCCTTCTTGGAACCCGGCAGGTAGGCGCAGTCCCCGAGTTTCCGTCAACCTTATGTTCTACTTGAACCCAGAGGTTCTCTCGCCGACCAACTTGCATACGATGCCCATGGATTATGTTGAAGTAGACAAGTTGCTTCAACGTTTACGGAACGAAAATTTTCGAACAGAAAACTCTAACAAGACCAAATAGAGGGCTTCGTTAAAACCGGCCTTCTAGCGGCTTCGTCTAAACCATTTATAAGTCGGGTTAGTAAATATCCCATTTAGAAGTTTGGAGAACCAGTTGACTACTGTTGTAAAAAAATCATCGCACAGACGAAGTGCCGGATGCGCCAACATCTTACAGTTCTTCTTGTTGCAGTGCTCCTGTCTTAGTACGAACCAGTACTCCCCTAAATATGGTATACTCTGTGCAAGCTTACAAATTTCTCCCTCTTTAAACGTACCACCCCCTACAAAGACCATCCTCTAAAGGGTGGCTGAGTCTAGCCAACCGGATGCGAAAATGAACCCTGCAACCTCACCAACCTCAAATCAACCGCTGACTAACAATCATGGCTATACAGCACCAGTGTTCGGACTGTGTGCAGCAAATCGAGTGTCGAAACATAGCATCAGTGACAGTAGGTCTCGGTCATCTAATCACCCGATAAAAACAAGCTTGCAGTACAAAAACCGCACCGTAGATGTATTTGATTTCGTTTCTGGTTCGGACCGCTTTTATAAAGTGACGAGACATGTTTACAACCGTTAATTCACACAAAAAATTGTGCCACAGTGCCCGCGTTAGACCATAAGCTCTCCGACTGGTGCTGTTTTTTTCAAAAACTTTGATGATTCATTCAAGCACTACCTCTCAACTGTTGCAGTGCTCAACTTACCGGTCTAAAACGCCCTCAAGACGACCTCCACAAGCTTGTTGCGGTTCTACTATTTTCCTGGGCACTAGCTGCAAAACTTCGAACCGATTCATCACAGTTTAACTTTAGTCTCACAGAGTTTGGCATAAATTACAACCTGTCACTAATTTACTCCACAAATAAGCCTTGTGAACCTAATGTTGTGCTTTCATCCGGTAAATTTGCGTATGAACGACAAACTCAGTGTGTCTGTGTGTTGTAGGGACCAGTTGAGAGTAAATGAACTTTCTTCCGGTTTGGGACCAGAAGTGGAATCAAATAAGACACAAAAAATAAAACTGCGCACACTCAAAACGAACGGACTTTTAAAATGTACCGCTGACTTTCGCGAAGGCGAGCCGAAGGTATGTACGGTGTGCTGTCAGGCCTAAAAGATGCACCGGACACTGGTAGACTGTAGTCACGTGACGTCAAATCGCTGTAAACATAACTGTTGAAAGTCAGCATCGTATGCTAACGACCCCAGCGCGAAAGAATTATAATGAACGTGTAACTAAAAGGCATCCTGGCTACGATAGATTCGATGGCATATTTGAGCTCTAGGATGAAAAGACAAGTTTGTTAAACAGTTATGAAACTCATAAAATTCACCCTTCCCTAGAGCAAATGATGACTTTGCTCACCAGCGAAAGTTATCCGGGTGTCAAAAGTGGAATGGATGTTTCAACAGTTTACAGGTCATTTTGTTGAATAACGTGTTTGAACGGGATGAGTGAACTTATCGGAATCACGTGCCGATTACATATAGCTTAATAGTCCTCACAGCTATTCGATGCCAATGTCAACCTCTTTTATTTGCTTCTTCTCTACTGGACGGTATTCTACTAGACGCCAGGTCCACGTTTGGCTGTTTTCTCCTAAGACGAAATGACGTAGACGGTAACGACCTCGGTGCTCAGGCTTCCGACAGACAGGTTCCGAACTGAGAATTTTGAAAATAAATATCTGAACACTACGGATAATTTTGTCGCCAAGACTCAGTTTACTGCACGCGACTGTGTATGAGCTTAGTCATCTCACGAAATCGAAAAAAGTAGCTTTTATGTTTGACCTTGCAGACGGCTGAATTTTGCCACCAACGTTACTGATTGTCTTGCAACAATGTACGGAGAGCCATAGGCTAGAAGACGAGAAGCAGTTCAGGATGACTGGCTGGGCTGGGATTATCGATCAGACCATGTGATTCACCCGGTATTTTTCTTTTCATTTGGTGCCAAATGGGCAAGCTTCTGAGGCTGATCCAACTTAGACGAATCGAACATCGTTCGTATGTGCGCGAACGTTTGAAGGGTTAGGTGTGCATCTACATAAGCTACTGATGAAACTTGTGAGTAGCATCTGGCCGGGCCGTCCCCGCTTCTGACAAAAATTATGAAACCGCTTCGCAGTGCCTGTTTATTATTGGTAAATATTCGAAGAATGTACGGGAAAATTTAAAAGGACGCTCGAGAATGTTCGTTTTTCACGTACTCTGTGCAAATGAAATCTATACCGTCAAATCAGCTGTAAAAATTTAGTTCGCATTGATCAATAAACAACTCCGAATGCTTTTCTCACTCCCGTAGTGGTGAGCCGTAGCATAAATTTACACGCATGAAAAGATATTAGTAGATATTTGGAGTATACAGTCAGATGGTGCTGTAAACTTACTTGTATGAGCGTAGCGGTAGTCGGAATGAAAGCAATAAAAAAATTTAACACTATTTTCCGCTTTTTGGGACGATAAAAACGCAAGGTAGAAAACTATAATCCAGTTACTCCCCTCATTGATTAGATAAGCTGGTCGGGGAAAAAAAGCTGAAACGCTCCACCTTTCTTTATCGTACACACAGCTCGAAGGTGAGATTAACTGTATCTAAACCCGTCGATTCATTCTTCATTCGTCCCTTTTTGACTAGGCCCATGAAAGTAACATCTTAATTGTACGTTTTTTGTCGGACTGAGCAGTCACTCAGGCGAGCATTGTTCTCAGTAGGGAAGAAAAAGCACTCACCGTCATCGACTGCAGTAAACTCACAAAAACGATACTACTCTCTCTCTCTCTCTGGCTGTCTTTACATGCGAAAGCTTTTATGGGAACTTTTTGAAATGAAGGGAAGTCAGCTGGTGAGAGTATATTAGTTTCCCGCGGAGCGTGTCCGGAAAGCCGGTGATGTTCCAGCTGGATTCGGCCATCGGATATGATTATGCTTGACTTGGGAACGTTGTGTGTGAGCGCACCCGCGAACTGTTTCGTCGACAAGTTTATTGTTATTGTGGCAGCCCGATGGACGGAAAACATGTAATAAAGAGATTGTTTCGCCCAACCGATTAAAACCTTTCCCACGTCAACAGGACAGGACGGCAAAAATCACCGTGTTTGTTATTGCTACAGCGCTTTAGAGCATACGTTCGGCAGTGAGTCAGTCCATGCAAACTGATGTTCCCAAACTGAGAGGAGGTTCACATAATTTCCTAATGTTGCCCGCCCAAAAGGTCCACGTTGTTGAGACCAGTTATGTGAACAGTGCTCATTCACACACACACACACACACACGCACACACCAATGCGTACACATTGTCGCATTCTACCAAGTTTCATTCATGCCCGAAGTCTCCAACAACCCAACCGACTGTCACTCTTAAACTGGCTAGAAGAAACCACTGATGCGTTACTCTCCATTCGGAGACAAGTAAAAAAGGTCAACAGACTGAGTAAATTCGGGAATTTTTGTTCTGTAAGTGAAACCAATTCATTCTTGAAAGTACTGTACAGCTGAACTACACTCATTTGCAAAGCAATTTGGTTTTGTGGGGGACCCACCTATACTCCAGCTGAATCTCTCGTTTATGAAGTTTTTTAAGCAAGTGAATGTGCTGCGCCAGGTAGCCTCATGTTCCAGCTGGTACGATATTCGAGATATCGCGGTACATGTATAGACGTAATACACTACTCATAAGGCTGCTGAAGTCGAAAAAAAATTTCAGCGGCCTTATGAGTAGTGTGTTACGTCAACAGCTTACACCGGCTTCATCCTCATTGAAAATCATCAGCAATGCGCGTCTCACCAAAATCATTGGGGCTTTGAACCCACGACCCCGGTAGTAGTTTGAATACTTGACGGTTTAGCCAAGAGCGGCTGATCAGCAGTGTGGCTGACTTGCACTCAGACAGGATTTAGTGCCACTTCAGTCCTTCACTCACCGAATGTACATTGCTTAATCGCGTGTTGACGACTTCCACTAATCATGTCGAAACAGACCGACTTCCTTCAATTAAAAGACGGAATCTCATTGGGAAGTAGCATCAGGCTAGACGGGCATGTGTTTGTCATCTGCAGCACCAAACCCGAGCGTAACGATTGTAGCTTAATCAGTTCACGTGACCGGTAAAATCAATAAACTGCGTTTGTCCCTGTGGTTTTGCCAAAATGAAACAAGATTTCCCTCCGAATAAGTAATATGTTCTTACCAAACTGTGGGATTTACACGCTGTTAGGATATAGGCCTATGGGGAGAAGTAAGAGGTCGCAAGGTTGCAATGTCATCCGTTTCACTCCGAAACCGGAGTTCAAATCGGAGTACGTATCAAGAATACTCCCAGTCTTTGACCCCCATCTGCGCTTAGTGACTCTGATGTACACAACCAAGTCACATGCAAACTGGCGGTCTTGTTTTTTGAGCCAATAACTTCAATTTATTTCTATCCAGGACCATCGGCATCAACAAACTAGTCGTCGGAAAAAGATGTCCTCGTTGAACTGATAACTGAGAATCGACAATTTTAGATGTGACTGCAACCTAAAACTGTTCGGAGTGAAAGTTCAGTGAGGTGAAGCAGAGGAAAGTAGATGTGACGGACGCAAATGTCACGTGTTTAATGAAAAAAACAGAACACTTGATTGACGCTTTCGGGGAATGATGTGAAGCTTTGGGAGGGACCACCTAATTTGCTCATATTTCAGCTTCCTACACGGTCATAAAACAGTGAGGGAGACTCACCAGACACGAACTTTGATACGTTCCGATGCGTTGTGACACTCGCTGTACGAGAGAAAATCACATGTGAACGACGAGGTTATTCAAAGTTTTCAATCAACATCAGGGAAAATGAGAAACAAAATAATCGAAATTCAGCTACTCGCGACGATTTACCAGTGGTAAGCAATCAAACTAGGCAACCATAAAATATCACCTCAGGAGAAAGGTAAAAACGTGCATAGTTCTCGTTTTTCTTCTTGTTCGCCGCATGTGCGCAGAAAGACTCTAACAGCAGCATCTCCAAGAAAAAGTGGCCTGTCGGGCGGTGTTGATTCATTGCAGTTCCGTTTGCCGACCAAATGCTCGTAGCTTACAGGCCGCTGCCAATCGGTGACAAACGTGAGATATCTGGCTCGTTCGATAGACCCCACGTGACATTCAACCTTTTTTTGTAGACTGGTGAATTTTCAAACCATACTCGATGCCCTGCACATGTCGCAACTGTCGAATCATATTTCACAATATTTAACCTAAACCGCTCTTTTCGGGTGTCCTACCTGTTTGTTCAAACTCCCATGTGCACTAGACATAGTTAACAAACGTGTAGTGATTTAAATTAATCGATAAAACTTTGGCAGGCTGTAGTATAAGACTGGCGTCGCATTGCTTGCTAGGTTAGATTATGTTCCGTGTCACGACTAAAATCGATAATTCAAATCTCTTCTCACTTCATCTTACAGGCCGCCTGCGATTGCTTCTAAATGGATGAGTTGGTGCGTTAAAGACTCACTAGATGAGCGCACTGGGTTATCTTACCAGATATCCTGTTGATTGAAACGTGTCCACAGTAGACATTTATGATATCTTCTGTACTATCTCCAGCTCTTTAAACTAAAAAAAACCACCGTCAAACTGACAAATGTTGACCGTGTTCTCGGGGTCAGTGCCTCCACATCGACAAATTTCCACAGGGCACATTTCATGATAACTTCAGGTTTGTAGAGAAAATGATTAGTTATGATTCCGCTCCTCTCGTCTGACTGACTGACCGCTCTTCCCACCTTCAGTAAATAAATGTGGTCTCAGCTCAGAAACACAAATTACTCGCTTGAGATTCAACAAAAACAAAATTTACCTGCATGAAAAATGTGGCCTTTAGAGATGATACACCAACCACTGTCAAATTAAATCTGTCTGCGGTGCTTGGGATGTATATGATGAATTTTGTATGAGATGCGCTCAGTCGTTTCTACGAGTACGCACGAGTCAGTTACACGATACACGTTAGGGTGAACTGTTGACATCCCAAAATGTAATGTCCTAAATTTGGAAATGGGAAAATCAGTTGCCTGTGAAGCTAGGCTGTCGGCGCTTTTGCCATGGCAACAGGGAACCAGTGCTTCTGGTTAAACTGTCAAGAGGATTGTGTAAATAACACTTGAGGTGGATAGACTGCAAGTTGGAGCGAGCGATAACCGGTATCACTCCATCGCCTCACCTCTTACAAGGTGCTGTGAGTCTAACTGGCTTTCGCACCAACCAGTGAGGCACTTCTTAATAGTTTATGTTCACCGCGTTTTTCCCCACCCGTCACGTGTCAGCTACTTTTCACTGTCGCCAAAATGATAAGTGATTGCAACAGAACCAAGCGTTTTCAATTTGATGGGGAACTGTTGGACAGAGTAGTAAGCGCCGTTAGAATACAGCAGTAAAAACGATGGAGGAATTTGATAGAGGAATTTTGAATAAAAGAATCTGTTGACTTGTGAAGCATCCTCATGAGAGCTGGTTCAACCACTCATCTACGAGGTTTACGATTGCTAGGGTTGTGGATCCTCCGGGGAACTGGTAACCAAAGGAGTAGCTTCATGATAATTGGCAGCATTACCACCAGCCTCATAAGTGGAATAACAGGCGGCGTGGATCCACGGCACCGTTGTTAGAGGAACACGTACACAAGTTACGAATAAAGATTTGTCTAGATGGCTCACTACATGAGCACACTTGAGGCCAGATCGTTTGTCCGCACAATGCTTACTAACACGAATTGTCGTTCAGCCGTAACACCCTTTCTTTGGCAAGGTGCCTAGCTGTCCGAAGGAGGCACAACTGTCGAAAACCACCAGGTTTCCCAAGCCTAAGCTGAAGCAGTGGAGATGCGAACGTTGGGTTCGAACCATGGACCCTGCGGTCAGCGTCTCAACCGCTAGACTACCTCAAGCTCGGAGAAGGGGGGAGAGAGCGCAAATTTACTGACCGGAAGGTCTGGTTCGAATCCGACCTCTGCCTCTCGACTCCCCCTGTTTAGGCTTGGGCAACCTGGCAATATCTCAGCCCTCATACTTCCTCCAAGAGGAATGAGAGTGCTACAGCTATACTATTTTGTTCTGTCTAAACCACCAAATGATAATTTAGCAGAAAATTACGGTATTCAAGCGCACGAGCTCGAGGGAGCTCAGTCGTTAAGGTACGAACTAGCAAACTGGAGAGTTTGTGGTTCCAACCCAACTTAAGCATCTAGATGGATCTTGTCTAGAGAGCCCCTGTGCTTCCTTTGTGTGGCAGCTAGGCACTGAAAGGGTATTACAACTAAACTATTAATATTACTACTGTTAATTTGGCAGCAGGATGAGAAATTACGTGGAAGTTTGAGGCAGGCTGATCAATCCGTGTCCCTCCCCCCTGACCCAAGGTTTGAGACTCCACGTTGTCTGTTCCGACATCATCATCATCATCATCATCATCGTCATCATCATCATTATCATCATCATCATCATCATCATCATCATCATCATCATCATCGTCATCATCATCATTATCATCATCATCATCATCATCATCATCATCATCATCATCATCGTCATCATCATCATTATCATCATCATCATCATCATCATCATCATCATCATCATCATCGTCATCATCATCATTATCATCATCATCATCATCATCATCATCATCATCATCATCATCGTCATCATCATCATTATCATCATCATCATCATCATCATCATCATCATCATCATCATCGTCATCATCATCATTATCATCATCATCATCATCATCATCATCATCATCATCATCATCGTCATCATCATCATTATCATCATCATCATCATCATCATCATCATCATCATCATCATCGTCATCATCATCATCATCAACATCATCATCATCATCAATGAGCTAGCTAGATGAAAGCGAGATGTCCTCTAAATTCTAAGAACAGCCAATCAATCCATCTTCGTGTGCATACCAGGGAGTGACGGCGTACAGTGCTTTTCACACCAAACTTCCTTTCGAGTTCAGTGAATTTCTACAGAGACCATTTGCCTATCAAAGGCGGTTCGGTATGTGATCCTCACTGCTAAATAGCTTCAGGTTTCTCGAACTCATTCAAATTTGAAATAAAGTTTCAATCCAATATGATCGATTATCTTTTTGAATTCCGCCAGCCATCTTGTGGTTGTTCTATCCCAACACTGCAGTAGTTTAGAGGTGTGCGACGAGACTGACATATCCAAGTATTAAGGAAAATTCGATGTGGTAAACATGATTTTGCGCATCCCAGAATGCACCAGAAACAACGACGTGACATGATGGAAGACAGCCATCTGACAGGACATCAGGCTGGCTCCAGCAAACTCACACCAACACCCCCCCCACACACACACACACACATGGAAACCTGTGAGAATAGATAAGCCCAGAAATTCGAGTGATCTTTTCGCGCCATCAGGGTTATAGAACAAACAAAATCGGATACCAGAATAATTTGCATTTTTATTAGAATTTTGCTGTCATCCACCGTGACAGTTTCCCTACGTGACATTAACTGTGTCTGGCGACGGAGATATCTTGCGAATCTGCTTTAGGAAATCGGCAATATTGGGCCGGAAACAAATTTTGAAAATTCAACCTGGATAGGAGAGTCAACACGGGGTTGTAGGGACACTGATCCATTCCCGTCTTGGCAATCCTCGCATTGGTTTTCATTGGTTTTTGATACGTACCAGACCGGAAATCGTGCATCTGCTTTCAAGGAGCGAATTTTACTTCACCCTTATTCTAAGTATTCCGCGTTACTTTTATTCAGTTGCGAAGTGCTGTCGCCTTTTACGTATTACAAGGACGAGACATTCTGTTAGAGTGCTTCCACGCACTATGCTGTTTGAGATCTCATCCACAAGCATTACTAAGAAAGTTGGTCGAGGTCATCCAGTCCTTCGGTGTGTAGTTCGCACCAACACAGTGCCTGCACCATGTGCAGTCTGGCTCTCAAAATTCATGGAGTGACACGTGTCTCGGAATTCGTACTAGCCACTGTGACAGACTAACTAAACGCACGAATCTCAAAGCCAATACATGCCACTTGTAAGATTGCCGGGTTTTGGCCACGAGACTTGGAGAAGGATCCGAGACATCTTCAGATGTCTCGGGACTATCACTAAACCAACTATTTCGGAATAGGGTAATCAGGAGATGAGTCTTTGGTGAAGCAGACTGTGCTTCATTTTATCAGCACTGCAATCTAAGATGGTTGCGTTACGTAGTCCCAGTTGCCGCTTGCCGAAACGAGCGCTGTTTTTGGCGCCCAATTTGGGGAGGTGCGGAAACCCACAGGCAGACAGACAGGGGGATAAAGCATGTGTCAGGACGCGCCCAGACAGAAGAAAAAGCGCATGTGCGGAGAGTGACGTATCGCCATCGATACGACACGTCCGGAAAGTAGGTGAGTTGGAGGTTCCCACCAAACACGGCTTAGCAACACACGACCAACGTAGTGGGCCTGAGACTGTTCACAACCGGGACACCACCATTGGCTGTACGGAACGAACAAGTGAACGACCATATTTGGCCAATTAGTCATCCTATATATTGCGCAGAAGCTCTGTATGTTTTGTCCTGGCAATGCAGCCGTGTCCTCAGTTCTCTGTCTTCTCCCTATCGCGTAGTCTGGCAGGCTCAGTGCAGGCGTAACCCATAGACGGCCACTCACGATACAACAGCATGCTACGAAAAGTTTGCATGCTGTTTGTGTCATCCTGATCCACGTAACCCTCCATGTCAGTTGCATTCATTCTGTTAGATTCTGTCCAAACTGTTTGGGTATTCAAGGTGTAGGCTGTTTGTGCATGTTGTCTGTTGTAGGCTCTCCCCACCCCCCTTCATATCCCATTTCCCTCTTCTTTCTACCATGGAGCTTCATTCAACCCAGTTAACATGGCTGTAGGGCAGTGTTCTCATCTTGTACTGCCGCCGATATCCACAAGATGGAGACAAACGCAGGCCCACTTTTATTTGTTTCTCATCTGACGTCATCAGTAGTAGTTCACTGTAACATGGAAAATTAATCTGCTGCGTTATTGTGCGTTTTTGCTTCCCACGAGAGAGAAGGGAACAATCTCGATCGATCCTGAATATGCTCCGTTTTCGCAGTGAAAGCAATGTGTTTGCTTCCATCGGACACCTGGAGGCAACATAACCAAGTCCTTTTTTTCGCGTGATACATTATTGCCAACAAAAATAGCAATTGTCTTGTTGGTCAACTTACAAGAAAAATTTCTCGTCCCATACTGGATTCAGTTCCTGTAGTACTGTTTTGGTTCTCCGGCGAACTTTTCCAACCTGAACCGTCACATACGGATCACTTCGTCCAGTTTTGTCTTTGCCGATAAGACCCTGAGCGGATTTGACTGAAATGAACAACGGAAGGTTAGATAGAAGGTGATGTACTGAGTAGAATTCAGGTCTCGGGACTCAGAGATGCCGGTGTAACTGATGACTTGAAATATACTCTGCACGGACGAATGAGTAAAGGCGTTCTGTATGTGGTATTGGAACCGGTGTACACTGGAACAATGAACGTCCTATTACAACGAACTAATTTCGGATTCACCATGACTGCTACTTGAATCGCGTGAAGGGAAACATGTGTCCAATGCAAAGAACGGCCGCAAATTTCATAAACCCAAACAAAAAGTCGTAAACGTTAGAATGTAAAATAAATCTGTGTCCAAAAAGCGGCTTTGGCATTATTTTTAGGGCCATACGTAACAGTTTTTGAGGGTAGTGGGCGACCAATTCAGTCTTCTGAGAAAAAACCGCAAGCATGCCGATTATCAGACTTAAGCAAATATATCTTTTTCCTGTATTTTTAGTTGTCATGTGATAGATCGATAAAATCTTTAAGGGAACCCCAACGAACTGCCTGGAGGGTATTCTAAGGACGATACGAAGTGAAGTTTAGGTGAATTGTGCCCCAAGTTTGGGCACCCACTGGGACACCTTAAATTCACATCGGGTTAACCCTAGATGTTGAGCACAGTTGTCATGGTGTCGATGATGATGAGATGTTTCTCTGAACAACACCGAAAAGTCACGACACCACCAGTTACGCGTTGTTTCTCGTAATCCACTTTTTAAAGTTTCTTCAGCGAATCGAACAGCAAACGAGGAAACACTAGACACCTCCCCACTCACGGCTTTAGCTCAATTTCGCACAATAGGGTTACCCCAGCATTCCCCACAGAGGCTTTGGAGAACGCGTTTGCATTTTGCAAAACCTATGCCCCTTACATGAGAGTCCTCGTATCTGCTTCTTCGGCGATGGCATACTTTCAATTTGCCCATGCATTTAGATGGTTTAGCTATGACCAACACTCAGTGCACAGCCGGCGCTGAAGTGTAACCAAATTGGACAAACGGAGTGGAACATTGACGGAATACGGATTAAGAGACCTGTTCGGCGGAACCCCACACGGATCCCTCTTTAGCGGTCGCAGTCAAGTGCTCAGAGAAGTCCATCCCACGCAAGTGGCCAAAAACCGGGGCGCTAACGGGTCCGGCATCAAGCCGAGATCTGATTGGTCGAAAATCTGGGCCATACAGCCAATCATAAAACAGTACTGGCCAAATGCCAGTTGCCAATGTCGCACCCAGAACGCGTCAAAATTTCCAGAAAGTTATTGCCGCCTACGCTACATATATGAAACGTTGTAAAAGTGTTCCTGACTTCGTTCTGGGCGTTAATATACCTTGTGAACCTTTGGTGGTTGTTTTGACGTGAGCGCTAGCTTGGTAGGCCCAGACCGAGAACCAAGTCGAGAAAAATACCATTACTACAAGACCCGAAGACATGTTAGTCATGTTCTTATTGTAAAAACGGAATAAACTACAATGATTCGAGGACAGGAAGAACAGGAATTTCGTTGTACTTGTACTGCTATTCAGACCGAGAACCAAGCCGAGAAAAATACCATTACTACAAGACCTGAAGATATGTCAGTCATGTTCTTATTGGAAAAACGGAATAAACTACAACGATTCGAGGACAGGAAGAACAGTAATTTCGTTGTGCTTGCACTGCTTCAAACTTTCTGTGCTCGAACCCAGTGCCCTGTCTGGAAGATGCCTGAATTATAGTTTAGAATGACACAGACCGAGCGAAGCTAGGCCTCGTGATATTTCTTTATCAAAGTCGGACACATACATGGAGAAGATGATAAAATCGATACTTTGTAACAAAACTTCAGGCGGTCGGGGTGAAGGAACGACGCAGGACTAGCTTGTTCCATGAGTGTCAGCGCTTGTATGAATTACTTTTGAGCAACACTTTTTGACTGTCATAAAACCCCGAACAGGCTTCATTCGTGTGAAACTGAGCAGAAAAACAGACCGCTCTTTCAGTTCTCCAACTGAAGCGAAACTCAATACTGAGGTTTACAAACCTCTGGTATCTCTGAGAGTCTGAGTAGACCCGTTTATAGATTGTATTAGCATATCAAATACATACGGTGGTCATTCCTCGCGCGTAACATCAATTTCAACTTTAATGAGTCCATTAAAATGACCTCTAAAAATCTAGGTTCGTTCAGTCACAGTTGAAGGCAAAGATATGCCCTCTGCAGAGATCATCTCGAAGGACCGGTTAAATGTGATCTGTCGTCAAAGTTTTCTTCAGTAAGAGTAGACCTTGCTTCAGGGGATCCAGCAAGAATGTCTCTCTGGACGGAGCGACAGTAATGTCTTTATCATGTAGCATGTTTCCAAGTACTTTGAAAAAACTTAATCCGAAGGATTAACACGTTCTCTTCTCCCAAAACACTGTCGTTGGAAGGTTGGCGATGAGGATTCGACACCCCAAACAGATAGCTTTAAAATTGGTCGCCAGTCTCCGTTTCCTGATGTTGCACAACCACAAACTCTTCCTCGAAGACGCCACATTATCCCCCTATGTAACTCTGCTACGCCCACCACTGGAACGTTTGTTTCACACGGACAAATTTTTTCCCAAAATTCAAGAGTGTCTCGCCGCTAAACAAAATAACTGCTATCCAGTCAGTACAAACATTATAGCACGAAAACAAGGGCTGAAATTCACCCATATATGTGTGCATCGATACATGTAGATATCATGAATAAATCCGGTGACCGCCAGACGATCACCGTTTTTGTTGTTTTTGCTGTTGAGTCCTTCGGGAAATCAGAGTTGAATTAATTATAAGATAAGGGAGCAGAGCACGAAATTTCACCAGCCTGTTTGATGTTCGTGTGAATCGTTTGGAGTAGAGGAAATGTTTACAACAAAACAAGTAAACAAGCCGAAACAAATTGCGATGCTATGCAAAAAACCTCTCGTAAGAGCTCATAGGTGGCTAAAGCCAAGGATACCGTTGAAATGAAGGAAAACTTTGTTCATCACGGCTTTCAGGATGAGTAAACTCCATTCCAGTCTTCTATGTGCTTCAGAAGGTCATCTTCATGATATCGACAAAGTCCACAGTGATTGTGCATATAACATCACTTTCAACACAGAAGAAGCCGTATAAGTAATACTCAATACTATATTTTTGAGTAAATCACATCGTTCTTTTCTTTGTCCACGCTCCAAGCCCCCTTACTTAGGATCCTCGTTAAGTTGGACAGTCAGCATGATACTCTATTCCTCTTTGGTATACGCTGGTGGTTATACCTATATCGTTCTCACCTATCCTGGAGTAATCCTTCTAGTTTGTACACAAGAAACATTGGACTGGAATTTCGCACATTCTAGATTTACTCGGAAGTGCATATCCCCGGCCGTTGCACGGATTCGAACTTCAGACCTCTGTCATCTGAATCAAGCAGCACGTTTGAGCACGTTTGAACGTGCAGATTGATCAGCGTAATCACACCAGGACAGAAGAAGGACAGTTTAAATACGAGCAATGAGAATACCAAAAATCGAAGTTTTGCATATTCACTCAGACAACAGTCATCGATCCCCTGCTGACTGACGAAACCATTCCTTACCTGTGATTGCAATCTTGGCCGAACGTTGGCTGGCACCGACTAAGATACTTTTCTCAACGAATTCCAAGGCTGCAAGATGTTGTTTGGAGTGAACATCTGTTTGAAAAACAGCTGCCACAAACTCGAACAAATCAGGGCGCTCCGCGAGACGTCGCTTTATCAGCGCTTTGATAGCTTCCATTGCTGCCTGAGCCTTGTCCACTGCACCATGACGAAGTGATTTCTCCGCGGCACCTACAACAAATTGGTACGCATTCATTTAATTGCAGTCTTAAATTAGGAGGCCGTTTCACAGTTTCGACCAATCAGAACGTGAGCGCCCACCCTCCAAACAAACGGACGATCGATTGGCCTCAAGTTTGAATAACCGATAAGCTTACTGAACCTGTATAAAATGCTTGCTTTAAACCGCAACAATTAAGCCCAGCGTTTAGACAGGTTTGCAATCCACCGTGCTTTCTGCAACCTTGGTATTGCTAGTCCCAACTGATTTTTTTTGCTCTTGTTTAAACCGTCGTTAGTACTCAATATTCACTGCTGATATCTAGTGGTCGTTGGAACAAGCCAAGCCAAGGTACGGCAGTTTGTTCTTATTCACCAAAAAGGAACAAATCCTATCATCCTCACCTTCGACTTGGTGTTATAGTGTGTGCAATACAAAAAAACACGAAACGTTTTGTGTCCGTACGGCTGTCTTTTTCGCAAAATATGAGTTAGCAAACCCCCGAAATAAGCTCATAGCTAGGTTCAGTTCTATCATGTCAGAACGATGGAATGTCATGTTTCACAAAGCTGTTTCACCGCCACATTTCACCATTAATGCCAGAAAAACTAAGCCGGGCAGACCCCTGGCTGGACTAACTATTATCACGTAGAAATCAATATACAATCACTAGGTTAAATTCAATCAAGCATCAAATGACACGAACAATCATCCGGAAGAATACGCTGATATATCAGACTGAAGCTTGTTTGTAGTTGAGCAGTGTATGGGTAAATGGTTTTATGCCATTTAGGTACAGCTCGGGTTACAACAGCAGGGTGGATGAATTCAGCTCAGTTGAGGAATGAACCAAAATCATAAAATTCAGATGATGTCGTAAACCAACAATATCTGAAATCAGCAAAAATGCTTTAGACATTTCTTTCACTCTGCGAAAAACTAACAGAAATTAGCCTTTTAGAAGAGTAGGATTGTTCAAAAACGAGAACGACGTGAGTACAAAATGGTTCATTGTTTTTAATGTGAAAAGCGTAGATCAGAGCAGCCGAACTTTCTGTGTCAGAAGAATCGCATCGATTAATTATTCCCAGGAGATTTATCGCATCTCCCGCTTTGACATCTCTTTTGAAAGACAAGTAAGTCCATAGATCTGGACGACAAATCCTACCCGAATTCGAATCAGATCGAACTGTTTGGCACCAAAGTACAACTGAATACCTTGTGTCCATGATACGCATGAGCAAAAATCGAGGGCATTTCCAAAAAAAACCCAACAGTAGCTTATTTTGAATAAAACAAAACTTGTTTCGACTCATACGCAATGCACTACTCATAAGGTTGCTGAAAATTCTTCGACAGCCCAAGACCGGTATCGCCCTTCTTGGGGTTCATCAGGTAGACGTAGTCCCCGAGTTTCCGTCAACCTTGTGTTCTACGTGAAACCGAATTGCACGGAATTACAAACGAGAGATTTAGCTGAATTCAAGGTGGATCTCTTTCAAAACCAAATTTGTTTGCAAATGAATGTTTCTGCTCAGTTATTCTGCTCGGTATGCCTCACGACACCCCAGACGATCTGTGATTGATTTTATTTTTTTAACATTCGTCGCCAGATCAGTCGACGTCTCGTGATCATCCGTACATGGTGGCGGGGGGGGGGGGCTCTGCTTACTGACCAAAGGTCTACTACGTCGGCGGTCTCGAGGAATCATTAGCCCGGTGGATTTGTTATTGGTTCATTCTGATCAGATTACCATAATTAGATAAAGTTTGACAGAGAAAAAACATGAAAATGTGAGGCAACAAGACTGAGTAAGAAAAGCACGAGATAAACTGTTGTTTTATTCAATTTCAATGTTGTCTCAATAGGAAATGAAACAATTGATTTAAAAACCGTTGAGGAATGGCCCTTTAGAGTAGTTTGTTATGAATGACGAATCTTCACAGGTTACGCCTTGTACGGGGCTTATCAGTTAGGCACTGTCTCCTCAACTAAGCACCAGTTAGCAAATTTATCGAATCAACAATTTGCGTGAACAGGAGGTTCAAACGAGAAGTAAGAAGGCCCATTGTTTTGAATGTGCCTACAAGCTTCTGATCGGATCACTGGGTCCCCTGACAAAAGTTTCTTTGCTGACAATGTTTCGGTGGATATACGAACGAGCATCATTGTGTCGATCAGACACTTTTGGGAATAATGTTAGTGCGAAATTTCGCGTCATCTATGTACGACACGTGTGTTCGGCACCCATTTTGAAATACCGAACGTAGTGTACAACCGAAAAGTCAACTACGTTTATGCATCAGTCTATCAGACGAGACAGTTCATCAATAGAGATTTTATCCAATACAGTGTACGGTGAAAAGCACTGTACAGTTGTTTCATTCTTATTGGGAAACATGAGCATCTCACAAAACTACAGAGAGTCTCGAACTCGCGATCCCCTGGCTTGGAGTTCGAACACTTGACCGTTCTGCTGATCAGCAGTGTGATTTACCCGCACTCAGACAGGCTACAGCGTCCCTCATGCTTCAACCACAGGATCACGTGTTGACGCTTGTTAAGTGCATTCTCAAGTGGCAACCTCACACCACTAGCAAAATATTCCATCATTCGTGACAACCTCACACCACTAGCAAAATATTCCACCATTCGTAGTTGCCGAATTTGTCGAATTTCCACTCGCACCATTCTCGTGTCAACACCCAACCTGGATAACTCACGCTAAAGCGAGGATCGTTTAATCCGATTTCAACTCCTGGTACACTCAAAGGTATGCACTGCTGACGAGCTCATTCACGATGAAACGCGAGCCCGTATTGGTGTTCACTGTACATGAAAACGTGTCTCAACGTCTTCGAGAAATACACTCATTTACAAATCAATTTGGTTTACATGGGAGACTCAACTGAATCTCTCGTTTATGATATTCTACAACTGAATGTGCTACACAGAGGCTGCCTCATGATTCAGTTGGCACGATATTCGAGATATCGCAGTATATTTTCGTAAAGGAAACTACTCACAAGGTCGTTGAAAGCTCTTGGACAGCCCACGAGCGGTTTCGCCCTTCTTGGGTTCAACATAAGGTTGACGGAAACTCGGGGACTGCACCTACCTGATGAGCCCCAAGAAGGGTGAAACCGGTCGTCGGCTGTCGAAGAGTTTTCAGCAACCTTGTGAGTAGTTTCCTTGATGAAAAGATCAGGTTTGCTTAGCTATGTTATGTGGCGAACAGGAGTTGCTCATCTACGGTTCCGATACAACGCAGACCCGAATATTCGTGTAGAGGTGCACTGTTCACGTGATGTAAACACAAATCTAATCCACGTGGATAAAAACTAAAGCCAAACAACAATCGCAAGTAAAAAAAAACGCGACCGACTCACGTTGAAGACAGTCGGCATTTAGCAACCCTTTGCATTTGTCATGGCACTTTACTCCACATTCGGTACACCGCAAACCTTGTCGGGCCACGCCCCAAAGTAGCCCTTCGCATTCGTAGCAGTATGTTGGACTGGTTGCGTTGAACAGTTGAAAGTTGTGTGGGGTGTTGCTGGAGATTGGGTATGCGAGGGCTTGTAGTGTTTTACGGTAAACATGTTGCTTCTGTGGGGGGGGGACAAGGGAAGGGTATATCAGCCGGATCGATAACCAGGGTTCAAAAGAAGGCCATTAGACCTCATGAGGTTGAGATTCTTTCCATTCCTATTTTTATGAAAACGTAGGCTAACATAAAGAATTATTGATTATAGGCCAAATCGAGATAGCTCAGAGGTTGAAGGCGCCAACTTACTGACTGGAAGGTTCGTGGTTCGAACCCAGCCTCAAGCACCTCATCTACTCCTGTCTAGGATTGGGCGACCTGACAGTATCTCAGCCGTGTCTTCTCCCGCTGACGTGGCATCTAGGTACCTAGAGGGTGCTACAGTTGAAAGAATGTGGAAACGACTCTGTGCACGTGGCCAATTTGTACAGTAAAACTTGTTATCTTGTCTGCTTGAGTTGACTTGCTTATGGCAACAACCGCACCAGTCAGTACCAGCTGAGTCAGACGCAAGAACCGAACCGGTGTTTTTGTCACAGCAACAATGACTCCAGTGTGAAGTCCAGGACTGTTCAGATGCGAACTTGTGCATTCAAAAACCCTTCAGCGAACAGACGTGACCTATCGGAGTTTTGTTACAAAATAAGTAGTTTGACCGGAAATTCGTCTGAGACCAGACTGACTAGGGAAAAGGCTGCCCTGCCATAAAAATTGCGGTTGTATTCCATGTGTGGATATCTAGGNAAAGGAAACTACTCACAAGGTCGTTGAAAGCTCTTGGACAGCCCACGAGCGGTTTCGCCCTTCTTGGGTTCAACATAAGGTTGACGGAAACTCGGGGACTGCACCTACCTGATGAGCCCCAAGAAGGGTGAAACCGGTCGTCGGCTGTCGAAGAGTTTTCAGCAACCTTGTGAGTAGTTTCCTTGATGAAAAGATCAGGTTTGCTTAGCTATGTTATGTGGCGAACAGGAGTTGCTCATCTACGGTTCCGATACAACGCAGACCCGAATATTCGTGTAGAGGTGCACTGTTCACGTGATGTAAACACAAATCTAATCCACGTGGATAAAAACTAAAGCCAAACAACAATCGCAAGAAAAAAAACGCGACCGACTCACGTTGAAGACAGTCGGCATTTAGCAACCCTTTGCATTTGTCATGGCACTTTACTCCACATTCGGTACACCGCAAACCTTGTCGGGCCACGCCCCAAAGTAGCCCTTCGCATTCGTAGCAGTATGTTGGACTGGTTGCGTTGAACAGTTGAAAGTTGTGTGGGGTGTTGCTGGAGATTGGGTATGCGAGGGCTTGTAGCGTTTTACGGTAAACATGTTGCTTCTGTGGGGGTGGACAAGGGAAGGGTATATCAGCCGGATCGATAACCAGGGTTCAAAAGAAGGCCATTAGACCTCATGAGGTTGAGATTCTTTCCATTCCTATTTTTATGAAAACGTAGGCTAACATAAAGAATTATTGATTATAGGCCAAATCGAGATAGCTCAGAGGTTGAAGGCGCCAACTTACTGACTGGAAGGTTCGTGGTTCGAACCCAGCCTCAAGCGCCTCATCTACTCCTGTCTAGGATTGGGCGACCTGACAGTATCTCAGCCGTGTCTTCTCCCGCTGACGTGGCATCTAGGTACCTAGAGGGTGCTACAGTTGAAAGAATGTGGAAACGACTCTGTGCACGTGGCCAATTTGTACAGTAAAACTTGTTATCTTGTCTGCTTGAGTTGACTTGCTTATGGCAACAACCGCACCAGTCAGTACCAGCTGAGTCAGACGCAAGAACCGAACCGGTGTTTTTGTCACAGCAACAATGACTCCAGTGTGAAGTCCAGGACTGTTCAGATGCGAACTTGTGCATTCAAAAACCCTTCAGCGAACAGACGTGACCTATCGGAGTTTTGTTACAAAATAAGTAGTTTGACCGGAAATTCGTCTGAGACCAGACTGACTAGGGAAAAGGCTGCCCTGCCATAAAAATTGCGGTTGTATTCCATGTGTGGATATCTAGGTCGATAGTTAGATTAATTTACACGATGCCCATCGGTCAAAACTGTCGAAAGCAAACGCTTGGACCATACATCGAGCAGATGATGAAGAAAACTCGTCATATTTGCCTTGGATGCGTGCAATTTATATTTTTTCTAATCGATTTCCGCCTAAAGTGAATCGCTCCAGCCAGGGTGAAGGATTGGAAAGAATTCTATCACGGTAGATGAAATTCGATCTGACATATGCACATCTGTGGACTTACTAGTTCTTGGTCGGTCAGGGAACTCCAGTTGGCCAGACTGGCTGGCAGTGCAGTAAGGGTGCGTTTCTGAGCCATTGTCTGTAAACGTAAGGAACATGTGTGGAGAACATTTACGCTGTCTAAACTTCTCGTGCATGCTCACCTATTTAAAATGGATCGAACACCAAATGGCACTACGATTTTCAGAGACAGAGCATCGAGTTCCAACTTACATGAACAAAAATGTTCCCACCTTGCCTCAGCTCAAAAGTTCACAAATCTTTGTGGAGATTTCGTCCTGTAAGTGAAACCAATCTATGCTGAAAAGCCGAGAAGCACTGTACAGCTGTTTCATCCTTATTGGGAATCATCAGCAGTGCGCATCTCACGAAACTCCGAAGAGTCTCGAACCCGCGACCTCCCGGCTAGTAGTTTGAACACTTAACCGTTCACAAATCTCCTTGTACATTCTATCCATTGCAGTTGAAAAGAATCTATTTTCAACCTTTGGCTTCTTGAAACTGAGTTTCGATTTGGACACGTTCACCATCACCATTCCCATGAAATTCCAAATGCAGGACTGGAAGACCCCAAGTTTCCACCCCGCTGCATACCACGACTTGCCCACAGGCGGTACACAGCCCTGAGTCGATACCCTGGTATATTTTATATCCAAATACTCAAACTCGGTATCGAATTTCTGAAACAGTTGTGTGGCTGCAAAATAACGCAAAGTACTCGGTCAGAAGTCAGGGTGAGATTTTGATAAATTCGGTCACCTTTAGCTGATACGCAGCCAAAAATGCTTAACCACTCTCCGACCTTGCCTGAACATTTAATCCACAATCCACGCACACAAAAGAGAACAAAGCAATAAAATCTCGGGGACTGCGCCTACCTGATGAGCCCCAAGAAGGGCGAAACCGGTCGTGGGCTGTCGAAGCGTTTTCAGCAACCTTGTGAGTAGTTTCCCTTACGAAGGCCTCAGTTATGTTTTGCAGAGAATGGGAGGTCCGGCTCTGGATTCCGACGGCAAACAAGATCAGCTGGTCAAAACTAGATCACGTGATATGAACTGCGCGATCAAAGGACGAGTAAAGCGATATTCTGTTTGAGAAAAATTTGGTCAATCCGTTTTGTTCAGCCACCACTGGTCTACATATCACCGCCCCAGTGATCTACTTAGATGACGATTAGAAATACACCAGTGATCCCAGGCTTTTTAAGAGACAGACTAGAAAGGATCTTGTCCAGTTGAATCACTAGCCGGAGAAAGAATTCTTCTTGTTAGCCTATCGTGACAGGATTACCTTAGCTGGTTCATGGTAAAAGGGAAGAACTGACATCATTCCTAAAGAGGTAAAGTTACGTTTGATGAAAAAACCGGTAGAGTGCTTTTCAGGGGGCATGTATGGAATGTGGGCCGTAGTAATCGAATGGGCCATCAACCTCCTCACCATGAATTGACGCTACTGGGCATGACCGGGGCTCAATTATGGTGACTTCTGATTGGCCTGTTGGGATCGGGAATCGTTTCTGAATCGAAATTGAGCACAATTCAACCCGTTTCAAATGTTTTCTAAATTCCGTACATGTGCTCTGTTTCTGCAGGCGAAAAACTGCTTTATTGTCGAATTGCTTTGCTATTCGTCCTTCGTACGAAAAATAGATACAACCATAAAAACGAACGCAAATGCCCATAATTACAAGCTGAATAGAATTTCAGCTGTATTTGTTTTCGACAGGAATCATTAATTTTGAATGCTCTTCTCGATCCTGAAGAGCATCGCTGGATTGTCCGGATTCGGTCCAAACAACTTAGAGTCAATGGAGTGGTTTAGATTAATAGCTATGTCATACTCTCTGCCAGGATGTCACGCGATCTATACACGCAAAGAAACAACGTGCATGTTGTTTCTGATTCGCGTACTTGTAAACCCAGTCGAAACTTTATGGACACGTTCCCGAATCCCAGATGCATTCATCTGTTCTAAGGTTTCATTTTGATGCTACAGACGCATCTCAGGATGGAGGGTTGAAATCTTGAACATGCAGGTGTGTGGAAGTTTTTAGTCAGCATTGGTGAGACAGACGTTGTAGCGGTTGGTGCGCCGGCCCAACATTTCAAATCAATCAATACTATCCAGGGTCACATACGGAACAATCGACCGCGCTGCACTGACTGATGATTTCTTACCCGTGGTTCAACATTTTAAAGTTCTTTTTAATACTTCTTCATTCTCAAAGTTTTATAACAAATAATCTGACACTAATCTAACAATTCGAATAAGAAAACAGGTGTGTATCGTAAAACATCGTCTTGCCTGTATATCTTGCCGGTATGTGGTATCGGTATCATCCCCCATTTGACTATTTCCTATATGTCTAAAAACAAACCTGATCAAGCTACCTGAGAGGATCTGACCTTTCCCAATGGGAAATACACGGAAAGAGTCAAAAGTTTCTTTAAATACGAAGTATCCTCTCTGCAGTCCGATGTATCGATTGTATCGTAAATCTACTTCAGATCATGAGGAACGAATGGCGAAGAGATTGTTGTCGATTTCTGAATACAGGGATTAACAAATATGCTCGAAAAACTACTCTGATTGACACCATTAGATGGTCGCGTTGTTTTCGACCTTACTTTGAATATCAGCTTGTGTCTGTCTAAAACATGGTCACTCACAAAGTGATTAGAACATCTTTTCAGATTCACCTATCTGGTCGAGGCCTCGTCACCGAGTATCCCCAATATTCCTGTCACTGTATCAGTTTAAAATGAAATCTGCAATAGCCTGCAAGATTCTGGTTTTTGGATCGAATCTCTTGAAGATTCATTCAGCTCAAAGGCGGGTACCTGTTGTTTCAAGGTTCTGAGTATTCACCTCAAAACTGGTCTCGGCCGATAGCGAATTTCAGTCAAACTTTTGTTGTAGTCCAGTCGCCCAGGGACCAGCCCTCGCGCGACCAGCCTCGTCTCCCGCCTGACCCTTCCTATTTAATAAAACCAAGGCGAGCAGCGCATTCATCGTCCAATGCCTACCTTCGTAGTCAAATGTGATAAACCCAGGTAATAAATGCTGCATCTACCTGAAGACAATTTCGCGTGCACGTAGCCCTGAGCTAATCGCCTGGATACTTTGTTCCTTCTCGGAACACCTGGTTGCCTGGCTTCAACCCATAAGAGGTTTGGATCAGCGACCAGTTGCAGTCTAGCCCTGAGCTAATCGCCTGGATACTTTGGTCCTTCTCGGAACACCTGGTTGCCTGGTTTCGACACATGAGAAGAGTGGGTTTACGGCCAGTTGCAGAGTTTTCCTGAAGAGAATCCGAAATGGGCAATCGATCAGATAGCTGTGGCCACCTTCCCTCCAGCTGGAAAAAAGCTTGCCAATAGGATACAAACCTGGCTGAGCGCATTCAAACTTCCCATCAGTTATAGCATCTCACCAGTGACGCCATTGAGGATATTAGCTGAAGTGATGACATTAGGCGAATTTCAGCATGTACATGGGGGCCTTACAGAAATATTTCGGTGAGCATCTTCATCAGCGCGGCTTCAATAAGCCTTCAAGATTGTCGCATCCACGTACAGTCTACTATTCTATTGTGGCAAGTTTGACCAAATCAGAAGTGTATTTCTTCTCTGTTTAAGAAACGTAAGACAGGTGATACTTGAGCTACCGTAATATATATGCTAACTATGGTTTTCCTCGACATCAGAGGTGGTGCACGCAAAAAACCTGATCTTGTTTTCTGGTTATTCAGGCCAAGGTTATCTCCAATAGCCCGAGGAGTTTGCCACACAGCCCATTCAAACTATTCGCGTGAATTTCTTTAGGTACAATGCTGCTTTGAGGAGCTCTGCTCTGCTCAAACTGGTCGGATAGGAATGGTTGATACAACTCCCCTTTTCAAATCGATCATGATCATTCTTTTTGTCGATCCTTCCTACGAAGCTCCGGCTTGCTGGAAGCTCTCCATCAGCTCGAAAAATCGTTCCATCATCCTTGACCGAACATCTTTACCTAGCTTACATGAAATGACGGGAACTAACTCACTGTTTTGCATACATGTGCATGAGTTCTCCCCTCTGAACCAGAAAGGTCAAATCGAAACGAAGTTAGTATTACAAGATAAAGTATCAATCTCGCATGCAACTGATGTATTGTGGCGTGCAAACATGCACCGGTGTGACCGCTTTGTAATGCAAGCCATGATCAAATAAGTCGAAAGCTGAATTAACTAGTCCCCATTTGTTGACACATCGTAGACGGATTCAAAAACAACTTGTTTGGCTTAGTACATCCGTTGAAATTTGTTGAAAAACTGAGCAACACAAAGAAGTTAACGCGTTTAGCTCGAATTTTCTTGCGGTTTTGTAAAGTAACGCGGTTCGAAGCATGATTAGTTTCCGTCAAGTGACATGCTTCAGCATTATTCTGTCAGACTACTCTACTGAAGAAGCTTGTTGACAACGCGAGCACGAAAGTGCTGAGTGGTACGAACTTACTGACTGTGGTTCGAATCCAACCTCTGAATCTCGGCTGCTCATGTCTAGCCTTTGGCAAACTGACGGGAGCTAAGCGCTCGTGCATTCTTCAGGTAGCATGGTAGCTAGGCATGTCACAGCTGAGTCATTTTAATGTGTTGACAACCCGAACTCAGAGTTCATGTAGGGCAGTTCAAGTGAGTCGTACAATTGCTATGCCAAGCTGCTTTAGAAGTTCTGGTCCCATCGACCTCAAGCAGACTGTTCATTGGCTACGCGGTCGTAGTTCTCAGTGCGACTGTGTAGGTCGTATTCATTTCCATCGCGAGAAGACATATTGTCCCATCTAGAGTGTGGTTCGTCCCCTAATAGCCGTGTTTTATATTGCTAGAAAAGACCGGTAGACTGTTCCTAAACTTGGGTTAGTCCACTTTAGTGTAGTTTAATGTAACCAGGAATTAATCAGCGCCAGTAATAGCAGACAGATCAAAAGTAGGTAAACTGCACACAGAAGCGAGGGCAAAACAAAACAGTCTACTCACCTGAAGAACCTGCACCCGAAGGGGTCAAAGAGAGAGAAAGAGGGGACAAGGTCAGTTTAAAGCATGGTTGTAATGTTGAAAAAAACAGCATTCTCAGATAAGGACCCATCTAAAGAGGATCTTACTCTGCACATTGTATCACGATACCTCTGTGTCCCATTGAATATTACACCTTGAGAGACAAACGGTCGAAGTATGGCTTAAGCAATCAACAACTGGATCGATACGTAATACCAACAGAGAGGCTGTTCCCCACCTCACGACTTCATCACTGTCATTAGTACTATCCAGCGGTAACGAGCTTGATATTCTGATCTGTGTACGTGCGTGAACAAATTGAAAAATGACCCCAGTGGAACAACGAATACCGCTGCACTGAGTGTATTGATTAGATCCGAAACTGCGTAAAAGAATGAACGTGTTAATCTGTATCGGGTCGACCTCGTCACGCAAAGGCTGTGCCCTACAGTGATCTAGTGGTTTGCGCGCCTCCGTGACCCAATGAGCTACGCTAATATAAGTGTATACTACTGATGAGGCATGTGAGTAGTGTCCAGTCAGCTGTGTCCGCACCTGTTGGAAGGTTAGCACGGAAAATATCGAATCGCTTTTCAGTGTTTGTTCAGTACTGTTTGAAAAACAAAGAATGTCCAGAAAAGTTCAATCGAATGTTTAAGAATATTCACCTTTCAAATGCTGTGCAAATGAGACTTCTAAACCCGTGTCTAATAGCATGTAACGGCTTAGTTAGTTTGACTTGCTAGTGGTGTTCAACACATGTTCTGTCGTACCCAACTGACCGGATTGTCAGGATCTGATCAACACAGCTTCTGTAAGCCATTATTCGCCCACAATTTTACATTCATGTGCTCTGCTCAAAAAAGCTACCCCGAGTGTTGAATCGCGTGTGCACTTACCAAGTCGCTGACCATCGTGAGTCCTCGTTTTCCCCATGGCTTTTCAGGAGCGCTGTCGATCGATTTGTAGAAACTAGAAAGGAAAAAGAAAGTTGTTCACAGGCTAAAAATAATTAAATTGCATTTCCACCGACGTCAGCATATTTTGAACTTAATTTGACGAGTTCTGTCCCGACGAAAGATGGAACAACGGTTTTGGAGATAACCGCCCCACTACTTGTCCAAATTTAATCAAGACAGTTGACAGATTGGTCCGATATGGATTCTAACTGTATCATCAGACAGGATGAAAGAAAGAAACTGTCCTCGCCCTCGGACAGTCTACCTTCTATCTTAGCATGAGTGCTCAAGCGAATACACACCAAAATACAGTAGCCAGGATACTAGAACCTACCTCAATTTACTTTGGGCCTCATTATTACTGTGATACCTCGTGTTTAGTGGAGTACTAACTTCGGTTACTCTGTTTGGGAGGCAAGCAAATTTGGCCCCGGGACGTACAATCATTTGGTGAGAATCCTTCAACCAGCAGTTATCGCTTGTATTGTGTGAGCAAAAACTAATTTATCTAATTCACTGCAGTCAGGATACTAACCCCACCAGAGTTACGGAATGAACATTGACAGAACCATATCGATCGATTGAAGGTCAACAGTCTTACGTGAAGTTTAAATTTCAAATGAGTGAGAAGCAAACTGAACTAGGAGGCCTTTTGTGGAAAGGTTTTCGAAGCAGTGAATGTACTTTGTTGAAGCATTCAACACCTGGTTTGTCTGTTTTGTTCTCCACATTTTTTTCGAAAACTTCTGTACTGCATCGTAAGTCGGGAACGTTAGTAAACTGGTAGAACGGGAGAGAGAGAGAGAGAGAGAGACGAAGTTCTGGAATCTCACGCAAAGCTTCGATGCGAAGTCGGACTACCGTGAAATATCGCCTTCTTGGCACGTTGTACACCTCTTCGCCTCCTGGTCGTCCTCTACTCGTTTTTTCAACATATCCGATGTAGACACCTTCGCTGAATCGGATAACACGGATCCATCCAGTTAAACAATTCAAAACCTATGAGACTTCTCCTTTCACTGATGCATCACACAGGAATTCGATGAAATTGCACAGGAATTTACCCAGTTAGTAACCGATGATTTCGCCAACGACTGACTCTAGTTTACGAAAACACTCATTCCGGTTCTCATGAATGGGACCCTGCAGTTTCGTGGACTACTGTAATCCAGATAAATCGATTTACTGATCTAATTGCTTTATTTGGTCAGACGCCTTCCCTCAGTTCAATGGAACCGTTTTCTGTTCGCTGCAGTCCGTAGCTCTCTGTACACTTTCTGGAACCATGTTTACTGATTCAGGGTTACCGGGCAAGTCATTTCTGAACCTCGGCTCACCGGTAACTCTCTGCCCTAGCTATCTCCAACCAACCCTAAACAAATATTGACGCACGAAAACAATCTGAGAAACGTTTTACTTACCCCAGGGCAACCGCAGCGTCCCTTTCAGCACGTTTCTGCGGGGAGAGAAGAGTGTGAGTGAAAAGATGGAGCATAAAGTAATTTATCATGATAAATAATCAAATGATAAACAAAGTTGCAGTTGGTTCTTGATCTATTGTTTACAAAGACGGTAGGTGGATTTCTTTCAGGTTACGCTTAAAATATTCAATCAAGAAGTTCCCAGTGTGATTTAGTTGGAGTTAACCAGTGATCTTAGCTAAGATACCAAATAAATACGTCATTTTTTAGTAGGAATAAGAGGTTAGCTTTCTTGGGTGCTCAGGTTTAAGCAAGTGGAGCATCGTTAGCTTCGAAAAACACTCAGCTTATTGCGGTTTCTCTGTCAAAGAAAGTCATATGAAAGATTCTTTCAAGGCGATCATCGGTGGAACCCGACAAGCAGAGAAGACCTCTGCGTAACAAGAAAAGAAGATAAAAAGAGTGGGTGAGGGAGGGGACCTGTTGCCGGCCTATGCAGAGCATTCCGTGATGCCAAGCGCTCAGGCAGACAACGATCGTCACTTTCATCGATCAGCCACCATTTCTTGCAATATCTCCAACCAAGCGCAGGTGGGGTAACGGGATTCCCATCCTGGAGGGCGTAAAACACAGACTCCTCGGAATCTCTTCCACATCCTTCTGCTAAGTCATGCGTTGTTCACCTCTCGGTTTGCGCCATTCTGAAGGAGGCACGGAGAACCACGCGTGTCTCGGTAGACGGTGCTTTGGTGTGCGTAGCACACGGCCGAGCCAGCGTAGTCGGCGGTGCTGGATGTTTCCCCCAAATGAAGTATCTGCCGCACAGCCAAATACCAGTTTTCCAATCACCTCGTTACTAACACGCTGAGGTCATCCAAAACCAGTAACATTCCGGAACCATTTCAAAAACATAAAGACGCAAAGTAGAGAAATGTAGGTAGCTTGGGTGCACTGCTTGATTGTTGGTCTGTTCGCCGAGCTTGACAGTTGGATTGCAAACGTTCCATCACTAATCCAGGTGACATCTTCAGTGTGAGGTTGATCAATCAACCACTCAACCCCACACTGAAGATGTTAGCTCGATTGATGATGAATTACTTGCAATTCAACCACCAGGCTCGGCGAACAAACCAACCTGAAGATGCCTCACATCATCTGTCCGCAGAGGCCATCCGTACACCAACACAGCCCGGTATACGCGACCCTTAAGACCTAGTGATATGCCTTTTTGACGATACAAGTGATTCCGGTTTTTGAGATGCGTACACTGACTTCATCAGACTCACTTCCGTCAGAGCCGATACGAATATCGACGCACGTGAAATCCTCCACAACCTCCAGTGCTTCTCCTTGGGCATGTTTAGAGACTGTACGCTTTGAAGCATGGTCTTGTTCTATGCAGCCGCGATCGTGGTCAGTCTCTTCAGCAGGATAACAAAAACTGATTCTATGAGGTCCACAGCAGGAATGCTGATAACTGGTCAATATGACGGATAGCTTGCTGTACAGTAGGTTCAATTTATATATGGATGTTTGGCGAACTCAGCCTTCTGCTGATTCGATAATTCAGTTTCATTCATCAGCTCACTAGCGGGGACATTTTGGGAGACGGCGGTGTACGGAACTCGCCACTTGAGTCTATATTCCGGTGTCTGAGGGACTTACTGGTTCTAGTAACGTGATCTGCAATTCCAGTTTTTGCACAAGGAAAAATGAAAAATGAATGTGAATCACGTGAACCTTACCCACCCCCAACTAAGTTGTAGCATTGACAAGCCCCCAAAGACGAACGAAATCTACCAGTGGTAGCCAAGGTGAATCATCGATTGAAATAACTTGAAATGGAAGATTAAGGAACCGAACGCGATCAGAAATAATCTGAAATTCCCCCAACCCATCAACCGCAAGAACTTGGCAACCACACCAACCGAGAAAACCCCATAATTGATCTAGTGTGCTAATCTGAACAGGTCTTGCTGATTGGTTCTAGTCTGCCTTCGAACCCGGCCAACCTGGCGACCTGATGAAGCTTTTGTGTCAAGAGCGAAACGCCACCCAATCAAAAACTACTCATTGTTTACCAAGCTCTTCTGAAACGTGAATCACAGTTCGGCCTCATGTGGCCAGAACGTCCAGGTGCCGTTTTCACGCCCCAATGTGGCGACTGGTATGTGGCTCACCGAAAGTCCACCAATTGGAAGATAGGTCAACCAACGGGCCAATAAAAATACTAACTCGAACGGCCAATTGTTGATCCAGGTAGGCCCTATATGAACACATAGGAACTATGCAATTCCAACACCAACGCAGGCTCCACTCGGGCACAATGGAATTGAAATTTCGAAAGCTATGACGTGTCCCTGATGGAATAAAGTAGTCGGACAAGTGAGCTGAGAGTACCAGTCCAAACTTTTACGCCCGATTTCGGCTTCCCGGCGAGCCAGAGATGCTGGGAAATTATTAGGCAAGGCTTTTCAGATAGAGGCATGGTCTCTTCAGTGAACAATGAAATTTGGTGAGCTGCAGAAATATGAGCTTAGATAAGACAGTTTTTGGTTTGAACACATACCCAACAAGATGTAACATTTTTTCAGTAGAAAGTCTTACTCTTCGTGTAAAGGTTTTGCAGCTGAGAGCATTGTGCGGGTAATGGGCACCCTCCACTCGTCAGTGATGATTAAGTGTTTGTACCCGAATCGTCCAGCTAAACGAACAAACCAACGGCCAGACGTTTCGTGGTTAAAAAGACTTTTTGCCGTTAAAAACGTGTCTCAACAAGTCCGGAATAAAAAAGCATATAACAATTGATTGGTTAGGTTGGTGACGGCTCACATTCGTCAATCTTATTCTGTTTTCCTGCGTCGTCTAGGGGCTGTCACAAATTGCATCAACACTGAGAACACATTCTAGAAAATGAATTAATACTCTGTTTGCAGTCGTGCTCACCGTGTTCCTATAAAGGTTGTTCTGTGACCAACAATTTCGCGCTTTTTTTAAACGAAATTTCCAGACCTTTCCGCACTACATACTTTTTGATAGGTAAACTTTCAGTAGTTTTGGTCACGCTTGTCTGGGCAGAAAAATGAAGTGGAATGAGGGGACAATCTGAGAGGAACTCCTGCAAATGTGATGGAAATATGAACTCACTTTGTAGAAGCAACAGAGAAAAGGGTGTTTTTGATAAGAAATAAAAGGATTCCGACATTAATCAACCTGTATTTTTCCATTGCTTTCGCAACTTGTCGTTAAAAGATCAATATTGATCGCTTCAGCCGATCTCAGCTCAATTTCAAAAAACATCATGGGATTTTGCAACTTTTCTATTGAGCACGATAACAAAACGTCAAACCGCATTGCGAGGTAGCGTTTTTACCTTCAATCAAACCGAAATTATTCTGCAAACTAATTTGGTTTTCCGAGAGACTCACCTGGAACCCGGCTGAATCTCTCGTTTGTGATGTTGCCTGAGAACCTCACAAACGATTCAGCTGGGTTCCAGGTGAGTCTCTCGCAAAACCAAATTAGTTTGCAAATGAGTGCATTTCGCTGATTTCGTGCAATTTGGTTTCAAGTAGAACATAAGGTTGACGGAAACCCGGGGACTGCGCCTACTTGATGAGCCCCAAAAAGGGCGAAACCGGTCGTGGGCCGTCGATGGGTTTTCAGCAACCTTGTGAGTAGTACGTTACGAAATTATTTTTTTCATTTGCTAAGTTTACACCTCAAGCGATGCAGGATATGACTACAATTTCAAAGCAGAACCCCTCAAAGAGGAGGAAGTATATGATACGTGACAGGGAAAGCTTGCAGAAGTTGACCCCACCTAAAAAGATCACCCTGCTACAAAGACTAACGAGACTGGTTGAATTGTTATTTCCGGAGAGAAAGCCTCAATAAAAGATGTTCACGAAGTTTAGTGCATCCTCAGAAAAATTTTCATTGTTCTTTGGCTTTAGGGAAGGGGCTGATGGTAAACACAAACAGCCACTCACCAATTTCGTTTACTGTGGGGGAGGGGTGCCCCGCACCAGTTTTAGACACCCTTACAACCATGACAGATTTGCCATCCTTCTAGGGGAGGCCAACTTCATTCCATACTTGGAAACGGCCAACTCTGGAGGCTTGGATGCCTTTGCTTAGAAGCTTCAAAGTGGGGGACTCGTTACTGCAGAGAGAAATCATTCCAAAAAAACAGCACCAAACGTACAACCATGCACTAATATCAACGTGTGTTCCCCGTTCGTTGTTGCTATTTTGAGCAGCAGTCAATTTTTTCTCGGTTGACATATTTACCTTGGCCCTGTGGGACGAGTTGAAACATTTTGTTTAGCTGGTAAAAAAATCCTCGATGGAGGGCAGGTAATGGGGCCAAATCAGTTCCATCAAGAATAATTGATTAAACCACATGCTCGTGTCATGCATTTCCTGTGTTTCCGCTCTGTACAAGGTCGATCGAGTGTCACTGCTTTCTGACAGACAGGCAGGCGTGAGCGAGAATATCTACCCCGGGGGTGAGTGTAACGAGCATGTACAGATAGAAAAATTGTTTTCGCTGGACGGAACGATCCTCACTCAACGGGGTTGGGAAAAGACAAGTTCGTGCTTGTTTCCGGAACAAGACAATGCTTTTCCTGAATAAGGAGGATGTTTGGATTCACTTGTTCGCAAAACCGACACTTTATAAGCCTAACCGCACTCTACAGATTGGTCCCCCTAGCTAGGCAAAGTCAGTGGTACGCACTATTTTGATTACAAGCCTGAATTCAGCCCTCACCGTGATGTGCGAACGCTCAATCTCATACTTAAGAAGCTGTCTATCTAATCTTAACTTTGGGCACATCAGGCTAAAATTCAAACTGTGGTGCATCGATTATGATACAAAATCAGCTGTTGGCCATAGTTCATGTAGTGTAGACGGCCGCTGGTCTGCGCAGTTTGATTGTAGACGTTCCATCGCCAGTCGAAGTGAAATCATCAGTGCGCCGCTAGGGCTACGCACGGGACTGGAACGTAGCGTTACCATTGGTTGTGCAGTGCGCAATAGTGTGTGTGCTGCTAGTCGGGGCTGCCCTCGGTCACGACTGGTTGT